CACCCGAGATCACCCACACCCGAGATCACACCCTGAGATCACACACACCCGAGATCACCCTCACCCGAGATTGCCGCCGACACCTGCAGCGAGACGCGCAAACGCCTACTCACGCCCACCGTCGCGTGGCACGGTCTAGCGATGCGGGCCTACCCCACCTCCCTCCGCTCCCTCCCTCGCATCCTCAACTTGCGTGTGCGGAGAGACGTCTCACCCTACCTGCCTTTCCTGCCGCCCTCCCAACGCTTAAATGGCACTCACCTCCCCCCCCCACTCACAAATGACGGATGCGAGCTTCTATCCGCTTCTCCCCGTCAGCGCAACAGCTCTCTAGAGTCCCGAAAAACAGGAGTCAGGACAAAAAGTCTGCTGTCGGGGCCCAAAGCGTGGTTGCGTGCCTGGCGGTGTAGGCTCCGGGGTGTGGGTGCTGTGGCGCTGTGCGTGCCGTGCTCCCTCCTCCGCGCGGCGTGCGCGCGTTCGTCCCTCCTCTGGCACACCGTGCGCGCGCGTCCTGCTCACACGGAGGTGCCTCCCCCCCTTTCGATGCACGCCCCTTAGCGGCCGAAAAAGTTGTCCACCGCGTCGTCCACCGCGTCCTGGAAGGCCCCCGCAGCCGAACAGCCGTTGAAGAAGCTCTTGGGTTTAAGCCGGTTGCAAAAGTCGGGCGCGGTGGGCTTGCAGATGCCGTGCAGCCAGGTGGAGCCCTGGCCCGGGAGGAAGTTGCCGCAATCCTGCACGGACGGGCTGCAGCAGGCAGCACTGCGCATCTCGTAGAGGACGTCGTCCTTCTTGTTGCCGCACGGCCCATGGCAGACAGTGACGAGCGACGCGAGGTAGACGGCAACGAGCGCGAACGCCGCGCTGCCGAGGAGGCCGAGCAGGCTGCTCATCCCGCTAGCGCCACCCTACGGCGGTGGGGGACGAGGTGACGACGATCACACAGGGCGGTTAGTATTGGAGCGCGCACCTTGGCCGCGGCAATCATGGTCCGGAAGGTTGTTGCAACAGGCCGCACGCCCTCCTTTGGGTAAGCTCAGCTGTGAACTTCCAAGTTGTTTGCTCTTGCTTGCGCGTGGCCCTTGCGTGCACGCCCAAGCTCGAGCGGCATCACGCAGAGCGAGCTCTGCGCAGGTCCCGCGACCTTCTCGGGCAGGAGCCCACCTCTCCTTCCCTCCGTGCGCCCAACGATATGGGCAAATCCGCGCCGAAGCGCGCTTCCGACGCTGACCAAGACGAACGGCCCGCAGAGGCCAAAGCTGGCTCTGGGCAGGAGCCCCCCCCCTCGGGGGCTGGCGGGGGCACCGACGGGGCCCCAGCCGCGCCTCCCGCTCCCGTGGACTCGGCCGAGGAGCTGCGAGTGCTTCGCAAGCGGCTCGAGCGGCTCGAGGCTCAAGCCGCCCGGCCCGTCGCACAGCCCGACGGGGGAGACCCCCCACCGGGCGGCGGCGGCGGCGGCGGCGACGGCGGCGGAGCCGGCGGCAAGGCGGCCAACCAAGGACCGCGAGCGGGTGCGCCCCGACCCTCCCACCCCCCCAGACTCCGACGCCGACTCGTCGGAGGACGACGTGGGCGGCGGTGGTCACCGCGGCCCCCCCCGCCTCGGCGGCGGCGTCGGTCGCGACGACGCTGTCGGCGAGCTGTTCGGCGGACAACGCCCAAGGGTGGGCGACGGCTAGCGCACCACACCCCTCTCCTTAAAATCCCTGTGTGGTGGCGGCGTGCCGTTCTCCCATCCCTCCCTTGGCTTGTCTGTTTTCTTTCTTTCTTTCTTTCTTTCTCACCTCGCTGTGCCGACGCCGCCCTTCTTTAACAACACAGCCGAAGCTTGAGCTGGACCAGCCGAGCAGGCCCACGCCAATTCAATGAGCTCCATCCACCGCGGCGGGGCGCTCTCCACAGACTCAGACAGACAACAAACACGAATCACCGCCCGAATATTTCCGCCCCCGCCACGTGCTAGGCCACGTGACTTTCTCTGGTAGGACGGGAACGAGATGATAGTAGGGAGTAGAAGAAAGCAAAGAGGAGCCCTGCGCACGCACGACTCCGCAGGAGAAGCCCCTCCCCCGCTCCCGCCCAACGTGCGCTCTTACCTCTTTTGTGCACCAGCGACTAGGTCCAGCCCTGGGTGAGCCGGGTTGTGACATTTGGCGATTCCGCGGCTTACTGGGTCCCTGAGCCGCTCCCCGTGTGCGATTCTTGTGGCCCAGGCATGGTACTGATAGTATAAAACGGGTCAGAACCGGCCAAACACAGGCTACAGCGTTGCGTTTACTTTTTTCTCAACCCACGTGCCTCTGCACATCCGTTCACGTGCACGGAGCTTCTTGAGCCACCCACCCACCCACCCACCTCACGGCCCGGCTGAGGCTTGGAACCACCCACCCACCCCACGACCTCACGGCCCGGCTGAGTGAGGCTTGGCACCACCCACCCCCCCCCACCCACCTCACGCACGGCCCACCCGGCTGATGAGGCGATATAACCCACCCACACCGACCGACCCATCCCCACCACCCAACCAACCCTCCGGCCACGGGAGACACAGGGGTGATGGCGGCATTCCCGACCGCCAGGACCTGCATCTGCCTCGCGCGCTTGCCTTGCTGGTTTTCATTGCCGGCCCACCCACGACGGCGCCATCAACCGCCGGACGCAACGCGAGAATGTCAGAAGGGGATGGGGGGGAAACCGCGCGCTTGCGGTTCGCGCCAGAATGTCCAGAATGTCCAGAAGGTGCTTTAGCAAGCTTTAGCAAATGTCCAGAAGGTGCTTTAGCAAGCTTTAGCAAACGTCCAGAATGTCCAGAAGGCCCGCAGGCCTTCATCAGCAAAGCACAATGCCTTCTTTTCATAGCCCATGACTGACTGGGTTGCTCACTCGGTGGAGGCGACTGTTTGAGACACGTCTACGGCTTTACCTGACTGAGTGAGACCTTCTGTACAACACCTGAGGCCTTCAGCACACCTGCAGAGGACTCTCTACGTTCCCACATTCTTTTCCAACCTTCTGGACACCTTCTGGACATCTTCTGGACACCTTCTGGACATCTTCTGGACACCTTCTGGACCTGGTGGACCTTCTGGACATGTCTGGACGCTCCACAAACCCTATTGTGTGCTCGCAGTGTATGCCACGGCCGCCGCCTGCGGCATTGCTCTCGTGCAGCTAGGCGACGCAGGTCCATCAGCAGGGCTCATCCAATGCGAGCGCACATGTGCGTAGCCGCGGGCAGGTGGCAGTGGCCAGTGCACAGCCGCACACCGGCTGTGGCGGCTCGAATGCCCCCGGCAGCAATGCTGGTCATTAACTTGCGTATTGGGGCCGCAGCAGACTGCTGCTGTGGCAACAGCAGCAGCCTGCTGCTGCCTGATTCAGTCAAGCCAGCGGTGCAGCGAGGCGTGCAGAATTCGCGCGGTTTGGTACCTCCTGAGGCTGAGCGCGTTCAGACCCGGTGACCGGAGTTGGATGGTTCGATGGAGCTCGCCGAGCTCCATCGAACCATCCATGGCCGGACGGCGGAGCGTGAGGTGGCGAGCGGAGAGATGTACCGCAAGACGAGAAAAACACGGACCTGACGCGATGTCACAAAACGTCAGATCTGGCTCACCCTGCAGGGCTGGACCCCTAGCCCTACACCTATAGTCCAGCGCGCAGAGAAGCCTCGCCTCGTGACTACAGCGTACGCAGGACGCTCCTGCGTGACTACGGGCCGGCCGCAGACGCTTCGCCCCACGCGAGAGCTCCGTCGTAGCAGAGATAAGAGATAACCGCGCTCACCGCCCCCGAGCTCCGTCGTAAACCGCCCAACACGAGCGCCCCCGCGAGCGCCCCACGCTCAACGCCCCTCACTCTCCTCTTGACGTGATCTCGCGAACCCGCCCGCATGTCGATGATAGTTACTCGAGGACGATTGGCCCACCCGGCCCGCCTGACCCGCCACTCGCCGAGCCGGTGGCACCGCCTGGTGTCACCCGCGCCACCTGCTCTCGCACGCGCTTCCGCCACGCCACGCGGTCCTTTGTGAAGAGCTGGTACGCGTCGGTCTGCGCGGGCGACAAAGGGTTGACCTCCTTCTCGTCGAGCAGCGTCTGGATGGCCAACAAGATGACCTTGATCTGCGTGGAGGGCGTCCAGGTGCCGCCATCTGAGCCCTGGGGGTTGATTATCGACAGACAAATCTTCCCGCTGGGGTACACGTTCGGGTGGCAGAGCGGCTTGCCGTCGATGAGATCGAAAGAACATTTCGGCGGCGACTGAGGGTAGTCGGAGTCAAACACCATCGTCATTGCAAAAACGCCACCCTCGAACAGAGTTCCCTCCTTGCCGGGCACGACGCACTCCCACCGCATCAGATCCTGCGAGCCGTCCGGCAGCGTCGCGGGCTTGGCGACGAAGCCAAATGGACGGCTCTTCCGGAAGTTCCTGCGCTCCTCCTTCAGGCGGCTGTTTGCGAGCCCCGACATGCGCGCTCGGCGCCTGCGGGGGCCGGGTTGGAGGCAGGTACCTAGTAGAAGAAACCAACTTGTTTCGCCTAGGTAGAAGAAACCAAGTTCTTTCAAGAGAGGGCGCGCCACCCAAGAGCCTAGGTAGGTGCGGATCGGCAAGGCGCAAGGATCTTTTTGCCTTATTATATCATCCTTGGGTTGTGATCTAAGAACTTGAAAGCACCCACGCACCAGGGGGCGCACAGCAGCACGGAGGCCCTTGCTCGCTCTGTAAATAGAGCCGGCTCTATATACGCGCGACCTCCCGCGAGCGCGGCGGGATCGGAATTGCGGCCGGAGGGAAGGGCGAGCCGCCGCCGCCGCCGCCATACCACCAGCGACGACGACCGCGGCTCGCCCCAAACGCCAGGCGCTGGATCGGCAGTAGAAAGAAACGGTGGCTCGCCTCACACCCTAACCTATCTGCCTTAGGCACGGAGCCAACGGAGCCATCGCGCGCGCATGCCCGCATCGCGTGCGGCTCCGACAGTCGGAGGGAGATCCCCATCATCCACGTAAAAAAAAGCGCGGGGCCTGCCACCTCGTCGCCTCCTCTTCCACGAGGGCCCCCGGCCCACACTAGGACGTAACATGCGCGAGGACGAGCACGCCGCGCTCAAGGCGGCCAAGCGCGCCGCCAAGCTCGCCGCCAACCCTGCTGCCGCGGCCAAGCGAGCCAAGAAGCACGGCAAGCGCCATCGCGCCGAGGACGAACCCGCGAGCCATGGCGACGCCGAAGCGCCCGCGGCGAGCAGCCGAGAGAGCGGCACCAGCCGCCCCGCAGAGGAGGATGCCGTGGACGAGACCGCCGACTCGCACCTCGTCGACGAGGAGCGCTGGTGCACAGATTGCGGCGCTTCCTTCACCTACTCGGTCGCCGAGCAGAAATTCTTCCTCAGCAAGGGGTGGGCCGAGGCGGGAAAGCGGCGGTGCACCGAGTGCACTCGGGCGAAAAAGGCACGGTTCGGAGAGGTGGGTGGCGCGGCGGCAGCGCGCGCCTCCCAGACCACGTGCTACTCGTGCGGCCAGCGCGGCCACTCGTCTCGTGACTGCCCGACCAAGGCGACCCTGCCGTGCTTCAACTGCGGCGGCGTCGGCCACAAATCCAAGGACTGTCCTGAGCCGCGCAAGCCCGCGGCGGGCGTCTGCTTCAAGTTCCAGTCCGGCAGCTGCACGCGCGGCGAGGCTTGTCGCTTTGCGCATGTGCTTCAGGCGGCAGCTAGCTAGCCCAAGGGTGCGCCGCCCGCCCACCGCCCGCCCGCCGCCCGCCCGCCCGCCGCCCGCCCGCCCAGCTCCGCCGGTCAGTGAGGACGCTGTATCAAGGGTTGTGATAGACCCGTCAAGCCAGCCACTCCCTGGCGATGCCGCGCCACCTGCCGGGGGGCACCCCGGCAGGCTGGCCCCCGCTATCTGAGACCGAAAGCCCCAGTTCGCCGCCCTCTGCTTCTAATCAGTTGGTCCTGGTCGCTCCCGTCGGCCGGGGCCCGTTCCCTGAAGCCAGACTCCCGTGTCCTCGCTAGCCCGGTCGCGCATCGCCCGCTGCGTCCCGGGCCAGTAGGCCACACACATTCGCACCCATTTCCCCCTGCGCGCCGGCCAACAGAGGTCCTCACTCGACCTCACGCCCGCCTCGTTTTATCTAGTAGGTGCGATGCGTGTAGATGGCAGCTGGTCTGGAGCTACGATTACTCTCTCGGGAAAATGGAAAAATCTCTTTTGATGCATGCGGTCATATGTCGGGTCCGAGGGCAGCCTTAACCCCTAAACGGCTACCCGCGAAACGGGGTGCCCGGAAGGGCGATATCACGGCGGCCTAACTGTGCCTCCGTGCGCTCGCCACATACCCCCTGCTGCCCGAGGGTCGTGTTAGCACTTTATTGGGCACATACAGAGGCGGTGGGAAGCCACCACGTTCCCTTCAAATTTCCCGCCACCGAGCTCCGGAGCGCGCTCTGCACGAGCTCCTGGGACGCGGTTTCGTCTTTCGATCCCAGACGGTCGTCGCACGTCGGCGCCCCAGTGAGGTCCGCCGTCATAGGTGTAGCACGCTACTAGACACACTGCCTCCAAGTTGAGCGGTGGAAAAGTGTGACGAAGCCACGCACCGAGGCGCCGGCGTCCCTCATGTCCTCCGCCCGGGCGAGCGAGCAGCGCAAGAGCGGAGGCGGATGCCATGCTTTGCGTAACGGCTGTCACACTCTCAATTTCTCGACTCTCCTGCGATCGGGGGTGGCCCATTTCTTTTTTCCTTTCTTTTTTTGGGTCCTGTGGGCACCCTAGCGTGGTACGGGACCCCTATTCTTTCTTTAGTGCCAGTGCGCGCCAGTCCCGCCCGTGCCTATGGAAAAGAAAGAAAGAAAACAGACAGCAAGGCGCAAGGGAGGGATGGGAGGACCGCACGCCGCCACCACACAGGGAGTTTAAACGTGCCTATCTATAGTGTCGTGCGAGCGAGGCGTGTAAACAATTCGTTGTTACTTCGTACAAGTGAACGGCGGCGCAAGTGGTGGTAGGCTTCCGAGAGAGAGATTTTTAGCAATACCAAACAAATCTAACACTCACGCGCGTGAACAGGGCTCCAGGCCCCAAATGACGTATATTAAATGAACTCGGGGGCACAGGACGCGGTACAAACGCGGTACACCAAAAGGCACGGGCTGCCTGCACGGCGTTCACTCGAACGCCATGCACATGGCGCGGAGCAGCATCGGGTCCAAATGACGTGTGGGTGTTAGATTTGTTTGGCTTCCGTGAGTTGGGGAAAGTCACAAATAATATGATTGAGCAGTCACCTCCAGTAGAGATGGGCGACGCACGAACACAGTGGGAGCAGTTGGACATTTGTCCGGCTCCCCGTGTTTATGAAGCCCGACGCGAGCTACCGCTCGCTCACTGCGACCTTCCTGGCCCTGCTCGAGTGCGGCTTCGTGGCTCAGGCGCAGGCACTCGCCGGCTCCCTTCCGTGGCGACGGCTCTCGTCGGCGCTGCTCGCCGTGCTGCAGGTTGAGGTGGCGCACCACGCCGGGGGAGCGCTCGAGGAGGGCCGCTCAGCACGCATTGCCCTCGAGCGGCGCATCGACGTTGCGAGCGCCGAGATTGAGGCGTGCATCGCCGCTCTGGTCCGCACGCCCGCATCGGCTACGGTCTCTGTTGCCCCTGGTCGAGAGGGCGTGCTGCCGACACCACCCACCCGGTTGGCCTCCTCCGCCTCGGAGCAGCGCATCGCCGACAGCCCGCCGCCGCCATCGCTACCCCCTCCAAGCCCGCTGCTCGGGTGGGCCGCCGCCAACGGCGGCGGCGGCGGCGGCGGCGGCGGCGGCGGCGGCGGCGGCGGCTTTGGCGCGTGGGTGACTCAGCTTTTGGCGGCTGCGAAGTCTGAGGTATTGCGACACGGAGAGTCGCTCGTTGCATGCGGAGACGTCAACCTCCGCGCCGTGTCGCCAGCCACTCTCCCACCCGACCGGCTGCTGTCGTCGCACGGCCTGATGCCCTCGCCGAAGCTGGCTCGGCTCTCGAGCTGCCGTAGCTCCGAGGACGGGATCGACGACGCGCGCGGGAGGAGCGAGGACGGCGAGTCGTGGCAGCGGCTGGTGGCGCTCCTGCGCGAGGTGGGGCGGCTGCTCTCGCTGCGGCGCTACATGGCCGAGGTGTACATGCAGATGTGCGCACCGCTGGCGGACGGCGACGCCGCGGCGCTGGAGGCGCGCGTGTGCGCGCTTCGCACCTCATATCTGTCGATGGTGCCCTCCGAGCTGGCGCCCTTGCGATCCTCGACGCTCGAGCTGTCGGTGACGGAGCAGCTCCTCCGGGCGCAGGCCATGCTCGGCACTTGCAGGCTGCGCGAGGCGATCTGCGCGCTGGTGGCGGCGGACGCGGAGCTGGGCAATCTCCACTCGCCGCGTCGCGAAGAGCTGCGGGAGGCGGCACTCACCGCCGCAGCGGCCGCCACCCGGGGAAGCTTGTCTCTGGTGCCGCGCGGCGCTCCGCCCGAGCCCTACCTCTTTCGTGTCCTGCGCGCTCACTCCGCCGGACTGCGCCGCAAGGCAGCGCTCTACTTCCACGGGCCACTCCGCGCGCCGCTGCTCTCCCCCGCTGCCGCTGCCGCGCCACGACACGTGGACGTGCCCCTCGCCGAAACCCTCGATGATTTCGGCCGCACGCCCGGCGTTCGATTCGTCGCTCTGCTCCTTTTTTGCGCCGGTCTATGCCTCGCGAGCAGCGGCGGCACCGCACGCGATGGCGGCGGAAGCAGTGACGGCGCTGAACAGGGTGGCGACGGCGGCACTGAGCAGGATGGCGGCGGCGGCGGCGGTGGCGTGTATGCGGTGGCTGAGTCGGAGGCGCTAGACGGTTGGCGTGCGGGCGAGGCCGCCCGGGTGGCGGAGAGAGGCTGGCTCGTGCTCTTCTCGACGCCGCGTTGCCGCGAGCAGTGCCCCCTCGAGATTCACGGCGCGGAGCTACAGCCCTTCCTACAGCCCTTCCTCTCCTGCTTCTCTTCCGCACCCGCGCTGGCGGCCGCGGCCTCCGCGCCTCCGCCGCCCGACCAGGACGGGGTCACGCGCCGCGCGATCTGCAGCCTGGGGGGGGAGGAGTGTGTCCTGCACCTGCTGCGCACGGACGAGCGGGTCGCTCTCCTCGTGGCGGTCGATCGGTCCACGACGAGTCGCCAAGACACGCTTGCGAGGCGCTCTGCCAAGTCTCGCCCGGGAAGCCTCTGGGGCGTGGCTGGCGCTTCGGACAGCGCCCCAAACCACCACCACCGCCGTTCTGGCTCGGGCGGGCCTGCTTTGGGCGCCAGCGACCCTCTCAGCTCAGTCACCCCCGCGCAACCTCCATCGGCGGCTGCCTCGCCGATGTGGGTCCCCTCGCTTGCGCTCAGCTTCGCGCCGCGCAGCGGCACTGCCCGCGTCTTGGGCCGAGCGGCTAGCTCCCGAGGACATGCCGTTCCTACGCCTGCGGCGCTCGATGATGCCCTCATC